TACTTTTTCTTTTCAACAATGGTTACGAAATATTCCAACATTGTACGCTCCTAAAACACCATTATACAATAATATATATTAATCATATATATACATATAAATATATATATAATCAACACAACTATTATAATATAACAATGTAGAGTCATACATTAATACTTATCACATATAATTCTTTGGAAACCATAATAATACAACAACCTCTTATATTTAACATTCGTGTAAATATCAATTCAACACATATTGTCAAAATTGACTACACTAAATACACTAACATTTACAATCAAATAATAAAACAACGTTATATTTCAATCGTAAAAACATGTATTTACTTGCGACTCATATATTATATATTACTTATCTATAATATATTTCTCTCATCAGTACTAATCATTCCATAGCCTTTTCAAATCGAAATAGACTACAAATTTTTAATACCCAATGTCAGCTCACTACTAACACGTCAAATCCTACATTCCCAGGTTGAATACTCTTCACCCCGGAAAAAAAAATATTTTTTATTATTTTTTTATTTTCACTATGTTATACCGCCCANTAATAATTATGATATAATAATAATTATATTATATAATCATAAAAAAATTATTACTTTTTCTTTTCAACAATGGTTACGAAATATTCCAACATTGTACGCTCCTAAAACACCATTATACAATAATATATATTAATCATATATATACATATAAATATATATATAAACAACACAACTATTATAATATAACAATGTAGAGTCATACATTAATACTTATCACATATAATTCTTTGGAAACCATAATAATACAACAACCTCTTATATTTAACATTCGTGTAAATATCAATCCAACACATATTGTCAAAATTGACTACACTAAATACACTACATTTACAATCAAATAATAAAACAACGTTATATTTCAATCGTAAAAACATGTATTTACTTGCGACTCATATATTATATATTACTTATCTATAATATATTTCTCTCATCAGTACTAATCATTCCATAGCCTTTTCAAATCGAAATAGACTACAAATTTTTAATACCCAATGTCAGCTCACTACTAACACGTCAAATCCTACATTCCCAGGTTGAATACTCTTCACCCCGGAAAAAAAAATATTTTTTATTATTTTTTTATTTTCACTATGTTATACCGCCCACTTTTTTTTTTTTTTTAATTCTAATACTTTATTTATTATATTATTATTTTACTTATAAATTTAGCACTTTGCTATTTAAAATATTATTCAACATTCCATTAAAAAAAATTACTTTATGAAAAAAAAATCCAAGTGCAAAAAAAACAATCCAAAAAAAATCAATCCAAAAAAAATTACTTTATGAAAAAAAAATCCAAGTGCAAAAAAACTCAATCCAAAAAAAATTCAAAAATTATTTTTTCAACATTCAAGTTAATGCCATTCTTTATCTAATTATCTCTCATTTCCTATTCTGCTACTCTCATCACCATTTCTCCTCCTATGAATACTCTACTACTATTCTACTTATCTTCACCACCACCACCACCCCTATCCTCATCCTCTTCTAAACTCTTTCTTTCCACTACCACTCTCCACTTTCACTATATTCATATCTCTGTTCTTATTCATCCCATTCATCTCCATATCTTTAACTATAATCATCTTTTACTTGAAAAAAAAAAATTATTATTATTAGAAATTATTAATTATAAGAATAAAGATTAATCATTGGTATTTTAATAATCATAACTTAGAAAAAAAAGTTACTTTTTTCTATAATCAATTAAATAAACAATAAAAAATTGCTACTATAATTAGACTATTTGTTATATATTAAAAAGAAATAAACCTATTAAATGTAATAATCATTCTTTAATACTATAATAATAAAAAAAAAATAAATAATAAATAATAAAAATTAAAAAATAAAATATTCCAACAATTCATATATTCAAGATTAAGAATATTGATAGAAATATTATCAAGTCTTTATCACTATTTATTTTACATGCTCAATAATATATACATATATACTTATAAAAATTTATTTTAATTCTTATTACAACTATTACAAAATAATAAATATAACTATAATTTTATATTACATCATTTATTTAATTAAATATATTTCATCAAATACTTACTTTTATAAATACTAATTAACCTAATCGTAGTTTTACATTCATACTATTTTTAAACTTTATTAAACCATTTATGAGTTATATTATAATATATNAAGACTGATTGCCAGAACAATCTATTATTTTTTTTATTCAAAAATACGATTCTATTTAAATATGATTAAATAATAATTCTACTGTTTTAAATCCATTATACCTATTTTTTATTTTACATGAATATTTTTTAAATTGATATTTTAAAGTAACTGCGATCGCATTTATAAAATATCATATCAACATTAGACTAGATAGATTTACTATTAATAGATAAATAGATATACTTCTAAATAACTAAAATTTATATTAATATTCAAAATTGTGATATTTTATTTGCGACATCACAATGTTTCTTGGTAAATTTTCGTTCATTTTGCTTAAAAAAAATATACAATAAATCTGCTGTGATGATCAGCCTCAAAAGAAAAAAAATGAAACTTCCCTGAAAAAATACTGCTGTTTGATTAAACTTTGAAATTACAACAGAACAACAATCAAAAAACCAAGCAGTTATTTTTATTTGCATTTATTTAGAGAAAGATATATATATATAAAGAAAAATTAATAACGGCACGTTAATTAATAGAATATATCGATTCTTTTTAAAATGGCCAGCTCATTTCCCACAAAAAATGAGTTTAGATAATATATTGTAAATCAAAATATTCCCTTTATCAAGAAGTTATGAACGTTTATAAATTTTTTTTTAATATTTTTTTCAAACACATTAAATCAATGACAAAATATTCCCACAATTTTTCAATTAAGAATCTTGTATTTTTCATTCAATTCAATTTATGATTATAAAAAATTATTTGGAAATAGGGTAGAAAAAAAATAAAACAAGTTTCATGTAATTATATATCCCACTCAAATATGGAGATAATAGAATATCACTAGCTTTATTTTATGACCCATTTAACTGCCATATTTTTAACCTCAATTCATAATTTTTACGAAGTTATGCTTCAATAAATTTTTTCGGCAGTCAATATCCAAGATCATGACAGTAATTCTTTTATATAATGAATTAGACCAATTTCTTTCGAGTGGTTCTTTGTATTATAGCTTGATTAGAATACATTTCAAGCTAAACATGTCACTAACTGAACAAAATTAATAATATTAAATAAATTATTAATTTTGCAGTTAATTGAATAAATATCTGCATTATTTGGAATTTAAGTATTCATCGGAAACATGTGCGCAGAATAACACTTCACAATATTTACGTAAAATTAGCTTTATCTCGGCGACTTCTTTAGTTATTATCAAGTAATATTTTCAACCAATCATTAAAAACTGCTTCAAGGTATTTGCAATAAAAAGATTTTGAAATTTGTTAATTAACAAACAATCTGATTAAGCATTGAAAAAATCAAGGGTGAAATTTTTCAATGCTTAATCAGATTGCTCAAGAATATCGTTCAAATCATATTTATCCAAACTTGCTGCACTTCCCGAAGACGAGCTACCACCCATCGATGTAGGGGCGTTAAGTGACATTGGTTCTACACGATATCTTTCTCCAGTGCATCTTGAGCTAGAGCCATCAAAAGTCACTTTTGATGCCATCTTTCCTCCACTTTCTCTGTTCCTTGATCGTTCTCCATGTCTTCCAGTTAAGTGACCGCTATGATTATCAACGGAAGAAATTTTTAGTGAAGAAAGTTGTTCTTCTACACTACTAACTCTTCTATTTCCATGATTTCCATCTTGATATGCTACTTCTGCTCTTTGGCGCGGTCCGTGAGTGCCATGGCTACTATGATTTTCAATTTTGAGTTGAGGCCTTGTAGTCTTTGGTCTAACTGAAGAGTCTGACCCAAATTGCTTCTTCGATTTCGCCCCACCTAGCGTAGGGCTATAGAGAACAGTCTTCTGAATACTTTGACACGTTTCTGAACATAAATGGGAGATGGATACATGGGGTTTAGTATTATCTGATGTAACACCAGTTTGTGAAGGCCTATGATGCCTCATTGAATATAATCTAGAAGCTGTACTATTTCTTGTTCTTGGAAATCTTTTATTTGATTGTCCATCTTTTTTTTTAGAGTTTTGAAGCTGCATTAGCCCTAATTGATGTGCAAGTGGAAACTTGGAAGATTCCGGAGAACTAGATCTTGAAATTTGTTTAGGTTTACTCACTTCTGATCTATCAGGTGATTTAGTGCAAGGCTTCCC